AGGGCTTGGGAGCCGGCCGCTATCCGCACGGCAGCTCGGAGTCCGGGCCGGCATGAGGACCGTCGCGGGGGGACATCTGCGGCCGGCGTGGGTGCTGGGGACAAAGGTGCGTGTCGTTGGCCAGCTGGGCTAACGCGTTAGCCTTGCTGTAGTTTGACACTTTCCAAGAAGTTGTGACAGCAGGAAGACAGATGTCAGTGTAGCGGGAACTGTTAGCTCTCATGGAGGAGGACGCCTGCCCAAACTTTTGCGGACCAGGTGGAAGTATGGCACTTTACAAAAGGTCCCACTCGCAGTTACAGTCTCCAGGAAGTCCGAATTGAGGATTGACCTAAAACTAGATTCTTCTTGAGTCACCACCTGCTTGAGAAGGTGGTGGGTCCGTTACCCGTAGGCTTTGTTTTGTGCAGAGACTTCTTGTAATGGGGAAGGTTTTTTGGTGAGACCAATTTCCTTGAAGTGCCTTGAATTAATTGCAGGGACTGGCATTTGCAGCGTGCCTGTTCTTTTAAAGACAAACTGATTAAAAACAAAAAATAAAAGGGCGGGGATTTAGCTCAGTGGTTCTTCTGCCTGCCTTGCGTGCAAGGACCCAAGTTCGATCCCTGGTACCAAAAAAAAACCAATCAATGAAAATAAAGACAAACTAAGAGAGTAGCATATTTAATTAGTTTGTTTGTTTTTCTTTTTTGGGTACTGGGGATTGATTGAACTCTGGTCCTTGCACTTGCAAGGCAGGCCACCGAACCGCTGAGCTAAATCGCCGGCCCCAGAGTAGCATATTTAAAGTTACGGAAAATAACACCTTACTAATTTAGAAAGTCTTAACCTTTGAGGAATTGAAGGATATTTAATGACTTGATGGAAAATAGGAATTTTTTTTTTTTTTTTTTTGAACCGGGGATTGAACTCGGGTCCTTGAGCTTGCCAGGCAGGCCACCGAACTGCTGAGCTAAATCCCCGGCCCGAAAATAGGAATTTTAATGTTTACACTTGACCTAGGGGCATTCCTTTTAAAGTAAGGAACATGGCAAAGGATATATTGTCTAATGCCTGGAAGTTCTAGCCAATGCAATAAGACATGAAAGAAACAAAAATCGATATTGTTTTTCAGAAAAGGAAAGAAGTCTCCTTTCTGTTGATTGGACTACCTATGAAGATATACAAGAAAACAATGCAGTAGAGGGACTAATTACAAAATTAGTATGTACAGGGGCCAGGAATTTAGCCCAGTGGTTTTGCCACCTGCCTCGAAAGCACAAGATCCCTGGTACCAAAAACACACACACACACACACAAAACCAAAACAAAATTAGTATGTACGAATTTAGTTTTTCTTTCACCAGTAACCAGCTTGAAAACAGTATGGTAAAAAGGATGAACAGTATTTACAATAACATATTGTACAAAAAGCATACACAGTTCTTGCACTAACCTGAGATACAAAGGAGACTAGCATTTTTGCCTAGTTGAGGTTTTTTTAAGAGGAATGTTGGGCTGGGGATTTAGCTCAATGGTTTTGTCGCCTGCTTTGCAAGTACAAGGACCTGAGTTCCATCCTGGTACCAAAAAAAAAAAAAAAAAAAAAAAAAAAAAAAAAAAAAGAAAGGAATGTTTTTGTGTATACAATACTTAATATTAAACTCATTAAACTTGAGTCTTAAAATTTAGCTATTTTTAATGTTTTCTCATAAACTTTTATTTACAAATCTAAGAATGTTTATGTAAAACAATACTTGATCTTTGACAGGGGCTCGATTAAGGTGACAGTTTAACAGATTAAATTCTCTTGAACATTTGACTCTTCACCAGTTTAATCAAATTCCTTTAAATGTTTTAAACTGCATTTAATGTTTTATATTTTTTCTCAAATACATCAAACTTCTTGAAATGTAAACCTAATAATGAAAGTTTCTAAAACTCTCTTAAATCAATAAACATGTAAATATAAATCAGGCTCTTTTAAACATGTAAGCATTTTAGAATTGAATTATATTAAGGATTTTAAATTAAAATTTTATGTCTAACAAGTCATACTTTGATATGATTCTCTTAAATGTTTCAAATGACTTAGAACAGTGTTTTTTTTTTAGTTTATTGGTACATTTTAGGTATACAGTACAGTTACAATCATCATTGGGATCTTGAACCTTTACATGACAGGTCAAACAGTATCTTTTGATGGTTATAAAATATCTTCAAATCTAACTTTGAAGTGCTAATATATTGTAGTTTGAATTACTTTGTCCTCTAGTTCAATTCTGTACCATCTCAGGCTTTCACAACTAAGTTTAGCAGCTTTCCCTGCTAGATGGATTGAAAGAAGTTACAGTCTGTAAAACTTGGAATAAGATAGGTTACATTTTTAAAGTACTTGCTGGACAGGGACCCTTGGATCTAGTTGCTGTTTCGAAGACTGCCTTCTTCATTTTATTGAACATGAATCAGCCTTGCTGATTTCCTTCTTAGAGTGATACTGTGCCTGTTCCCTCAGAGTGGGACCTTTAGGTTTCAGGTGGGATTTATTTTCACAACTGAATGCATCACAAATGTCCTGAAGGCTACAGAGGTTTCTTTTAGGGGACTCTCAACCTTTTAAGTGCAGTTGATAAGTGGCTTTCCTATTGGCCAACATGTTTTACTGCTAATCACTTTACTGCCTGATAAGAATTAATTTAATTTTTATATATTTTTTATTAGGTTTTAGGTCACAGTTTTATGGTTATGATGAAAAGACTGAATATCAGATATGTCCTAACATCTGCACATATGTAGTATTTACATTATATTTATCTTCCTGAGTTCATATTTGACTCCCTTCCAAGTACTAACCAGGCCTACTTAGCTTCCAAGATCAGACAAGATCAGACACATTCAGGGTGGTATGGCCGAAGACCTGAGTTCATATTTGTGATTCATTTTCAAAGTGTGGTTGAGATTTTTGGGGGAACTTGCCAAGTTGATTCTATAATCTATAATAATATACTGGGAAAGCCAAATACTATTTTAAAAGGAGAAATAGTGAAGATGAACTTTTAATTTAAAAGATGCCTTCTAACTTTCCAAAACTACAACATTTTGGTTGAAGAATCTCTTAAATACTAAATTAAATTAATGCAACAGGTGTTTTTCAGAAATAGACCTTACATATCTGGACATTAGTTTGATATATACTATATCAGCAGGGAAAGGAAGATTAGTGATTGGTGTTGGAGAGAAACCCAAGTTAGAACCTGTCCTCTTACCTTGTAGTATGATAAATTCAAATTGGGTTAAAGGGTTAAAAGTAAAAAAGTATAAAAGACCCTATCGGTGATTCTTGTATAAGATCTGGTAGAAAAAGAGCATTCTAGGTGTAAAGAAATAAGAGGTATCATACGGGAGAAGAGCTTAATTTGATTGTAACTGGAGTCCTTTTTGACTTAAACCATGAGATGTGGGGTGATTTTCATATAGTTAAGAAAAATATATTAAGTGTTAAGCAGAAAAGGCAATAAGTGGTTATTAAAATAGTAATAATGGAGTCTAGTCAACAGTGAAATTCTCTTAAATCTATGGACTGGGGATATAGTTCAGTGGAACAGTACTTGCTTAGCATGTGCCAGGCTGTGAGATGTAGCCTCAGCACCTTTCCCCCAAAGTTAAATCTGTATGATAGAACAGAGAAATGTTTATTTTTATCATCTTGATTTGACCTGGCCCTTCTTTTCAATGTTAACAGAAGCCATGCAGTGACACCTGCTAAGACTTGGTAGCCATGTCGGAGCCCCACAGGGTCCAGTTCACCTCTCTCCCAGGTTCTCTGAATCCTGCACTTTTGAAGAAGTCCCGGAAAGAAGACATTGGGGGAGCAGAGCAGCATCAGGACTGTGAGCCAGCTGCAGCTGCTGTTCGGATTACTCTCACACTCTTTGAACCAGATCACAAACGCTGCCCAGAGTTCTTCTACCCAGAGCTGGTGAAGAATATACGAGGAAAAGTGAAAGGCCTTCAGCCTGGAGACAAGGTACACTACGGTATCGCTAAGTTGCCCTGCAACCTATTACGTAGGTGTCACCATGTACACATGGGCCTTCATGCTAGTGAGACTAGAAAGTCTTAGGCTGCCCCAAGATTGTGTCACTCATCCATAACAGGCATGTGGTTAGCTGATCTTGCCACGTGGCACAGAGGGAGAGAATTCTTTATGATATCATCTTGACTTATACTAGAGAAAAATGTGTATCATATCCTAGACTAATTTGAACTATTACTAAAAATTAATATAATAAACAACATTGAGCCAGGTATGGTGGCAAGCACCTGTAATCCCACACTTGAGAGGCTGAGGCAGGAGAATTGCTGCAAGTTCGAGGTCGTCCTGGGCTACATAGTGAGACCCTGAGTCATTGTGGGTGTACTCTGCAGTGTTAACAGAATAATACAAACTAGGCCGCTGTGGGTATAACTGAGTAGTAGACTCAGCATTTGTCTAGCCTGTGGAAGGCTCTGGCTTCAGTCCCCAGAACTGAGGGCAGGAGGGAAGTAAGAGAGGGGGAAGGGCGAGAAGACAATGAATGAATAATGTAATGTGGTATATTTGTGCATTGATACATTTAGCATATATTCCTTACAATATGAGGCGTGTGCTAGACACGGTGGACTTTGTGAAGAGGGAAAGATGCTTTCCTAGCCTCAAAGGAACTTGCAATCTTGTAGATGTTTTAGGAGAATTATATCAGTGCAGGTAACAAGTTATGATGTGATAATTGTTTAAGTCAGCTACAAATACAGACCAGGGGCCTTGGGCGGAGGAGAGTTTCTGTCCATGACTCTCTGTTCAGACAGAGCTGGACCTTCATATAGTTGGGAAATAATCATCATTGGTACTCATTTTCTTTTTTTCTCCTGTACTGAGGAAAGTACCAGGGCCTTGTGCATGCAAGGCAAGTGATGTACCACTGAGCTACATCTCTAGCAAGTTATTGGAGGATTACTGTTTGTAAGATATGAAGGAATATATGTTGAATTCAGTGATGCTCATAATTGGTAGGATTTTTAAAAATTATTTTAACTCAAGTTAGATATGATTATTGTAGAAGAATTAGGAGATACAGATAAACACATTTTTAAAACCACCCATTTGTGGTCTGTATATTTTGTAGTATGTTCTATAATATCCTGTTGCACATATGTGCTGTGAATCATTTAATAACTGATGCTTATGGATGGGTCTCAGTAAGCAAATAGAAGAGGGATAGAATAAGAGACTTTTTCCAAACAGCATCCAGTCTTTAGTGTTTTTGATCTACTCTGAAGTCTTAAGCATATTTGGCACAGGAATCTTATAAAAATTAAGATTCTTTGCTACAGTTTTTTTTTTTTTTTTTTTTTTTTTTTTAAAGAGTAGATAGAATTTACTGAGAGAAAAAAAGCTTCTAAGAGAGACAGTAGAGGGACGGGAAAGTGAGTTGCCCCTGCTGCAGAATCTTAAGGGCCAACTCTGGAAAATTTACTTGATGAGAAAAATTTAAGGGTAAACTTACAAAACAAAAATAAACTTTGAAAGTCATGTGAAAGTTAGGCTGGGGATGTAGCTCAGTGTCACAGTGCCTGCCTGGCAAATGTGAGGTCTTAAGTTCAATCCCCAGTACCCCCCAAAAAAAAGAAAGAAAGAAAGTATTTGAACTGATTGTTGAAATTGGAGGACAAGGTGTGAGGATGGACCCTTCGAGATAGACTTCCAAGGGTACGGAGTGTGTGAACCTGAGTTTTACTTGAGTAGCATTGATGCAAATGCCACTGAGACTACTTTTCTGAACAGGAAGGCAGAGCAGCTTGCTAGAGCTTATATTATGTTCAGTGGGCTTTATTTTTGTTTTTGGTACCTGGGATTGAACTCAGTACTTTATGCTTATGGGGTAGGCAGTGGCACCACTGACCTAAATCCCCGGCCCAAGTAAATTATAGGGTTACAAAGGAAATCAACTATAGTTAACAGTTCCCTAAATATTGAGCATCTCCAATAAGGCCCTTTCTGCATTTAAAATGCCACAGTGTAGTCTTCTGATGGGTAATTTTAGGCATTTAATCAAGTTTCACTGAATTACACGAATGGAAATTTTATTTCTTTAAACAATTGGCAGATACTGTTGAGATAGTAAAATGTGTAAGTATTTTACCTTGTCTTTTTTGTTTTGTTTTGTTTTTTGTTTTTGAGACAGGCTCTCACTATGTAGTTGAGACTGACCTGGAACTCACTATGTAGCCCAGGCTGGTCTCCAGCTCACAGCGATCCTCCTGCCTCAGCCTCCCGAGTGCTGGGATTACAGGCTTGCGCCACCATGCCCAGCATTACCTTGTCTTTTTTGAAAAATAGTTGTTTTATTATACAGTTTATGGATGTTAAGTAGTCAGTAAAATTCAATGGCTAGAGCTGTGACAATTTTTGTGACTTTATTTTTTGTGGGATGATCTCTTTACAGAAAAAAGATCTCTCAGATCCTTTTAATGATGAAGAAAAAGAAAGACATAAAGTGGAGGCCCTTGCACGGAAATTTGAAGAAAAATATGTAAGATTTTTCTCTCCTGGGCAATAAAAGAACCTCATTTGGTGGGAGTGGTTTTTAGATATTTGCATGTTCCTTTAGTGGATTATCATGTAATTACACTAATCTGGAAATAAGTAGAGCGCTCAGAGAAAACAGTGTAATTATTAAACAAATGCATTAAGGTATAGAAATCACCCCAGCAGGAGCTAGTGTGTGAGCTACATAGGTGAATAGACAAGAAGGTCTGTTATCCTGCCTTGGGGAAAGTATTTTGGTATGAAGCTTAAGAAGCCATTTATTTAGTTTATGCTTCTGTCTTAAACATTTTTGGGGGGATACTGGGGATCAAACTCGGGACCTTGCACATGGAATCACTGAGCTAAATCCCCAACCCTATCTTAAACAATTTTATGCAGATACATATCTGCCTTTTCCAAAGGTCTTTAGGGAAAGAGATTCTGGGGTGTGTAACTGTTGCAGTACTTTACAGTCTATCACTAGCTGAAGAAGTTCAAGGCAAAGTTTTGTTATGTGTACTTATCAAAAAGTATTTGACCTCTTACTTTTATTTTTTATTTATTTATTTTTTTGACCTCTGACTTTTAAATTCTAGGGTGGAAAGAAACGTAGAAAAGACCGAATTCAGGACTTGATTGACATGGGGTATGGTTATGATGAGTCGGATTCCTTCATCGATAACTCTGAGGCGGTGAGTAGCTGGTAGAACAATCACACCTTGGCTCCTACAGATAGTGGCCAAGATATGGGGTGGGGTCAGAGCAGCATGCACTCAGCAGCACAGGTGTGAGAGAAGTTGGCCTCCTGGACCCAAGGTGTGGTTCCTTTGTCTGAAAATGATGATCACTCTGTCTGAACACTTAGTAGCTCATGTGGTCGTGATTGGCAGAAAGGAGGTCTTCTTATGCTATCTGAAGTGAAAAAGAAATGTAATTCTGGGCTGGGGATTTAACTTAGTGGTGCTGCACTTGCCTAGCGAGTGCAAGGTCTTGAGTTCAATTCCTGGTACCAGAAAAAAAAATGTAGTTCCATTTCTTATGAGCCACTTTATGGGGCCGGGGATTTAGCTCAGTTGCGCCATGTCTGCCTTACAAGTACAAGGTCCTGAGTTCAACCCCTGTACAAGAAAAAAAAAAAAAAAGCCACTTTCCACCTTTGGACCATAGAACTAGAATTTGGAGCTGACAGCATGTTTTCCCTCTTCAGTATGATGAACTTGTTCCTGCTTCTTTGACTACAAAATATGGAGGATTTTACATTAATTCGGGAACCCTACAGTTTAGACAAGCATCAGAATCTGAGGATGACTTCATTAAAGAAAAGAAGAAAAAATCTCCAAAGGTTAGAATATGCTTGCTTTTGGATTTCAGAGATATCTTTTGAGATAAGTAGGTGACCAAAGATACGTACAACGGCGTAGGATGCTCAGAGGCCGGTGGAAAGGTTGAGCTGTGCCAAGGTGATTTGAATGTGGGGGCTCTGGCCAGCCCTCAATCATTGTGTCCATGTCACTTGATGCCCCAACAGGCTGTTTCATGAGGTGGTCTTGGGTGGGGATGAGGGTGTGGAGTGAGACAGTGTGCATTACCCTTGCTGGCCGTCTTCAATGGATACAGAGAGGACCTCAGTTCCCAGGGTGTCACATGCTGAAAACAAGTCAGCCTTAGGAAGGAGTGTACCTTAGGGTCTGTCTGCCACTGTCTGTTATTTAAGTAGGGCCTGTCTGTCCAAATAAACAAGGTTTCAGGCCTTCGAGTGGCCACTGTTGTGTCTACCCTGGGTGTTCCCAGGAGACACTGTTGGTGGGAATGCTGTAGGTTGTGATGTAGTTACTGCTCAGAGCTTTTCTATTCCTGAAGAAAGTAAGAAAGGGCTCAGGATGTGCCCCGGGCGGAGCAAGGCCAGTGCCCAGTAGTGCACTTGCTCCCTGAGTCAGGGAGCCGTGTAACTGTGCCTTGTCTTTAATTCTCAGAAGCGGAAATTGAAGGAAGGTGGTGAGAAGATAAAGAAGAAGAAAAAAGATGACACTTATGACAAGGAGAAGAAATCGAAAAAGTCCAAGTTTTCCAAAGCCGGGTGAGAGGCAGCAGCTTTTCACTAGGATAAGTCTGACCCGTGAGGGCAGGACACGCAGGAGCTGACTGACCCTCCCCCACAGCTTCAGAAGAGGCAGAGGGCCTGGCCCTCTGCTTTCCCTCTTGCCTTCTGCAGGGCTGCTCTGGGCATAGTCAACCATTCCCATCTCTGTGTGTCAGATAGCAAGCGTTCCTCTGTTTCACTGTCAGTGTTGGCAGCTATTTCTGTCACTGTGTGATTGCTGATGTTCCTTGTTCTCTTGGGCACTCTGCCCCAGTTCTTCTGTCTTTGCTGTTTTCCTTTGTCTTCTGCAGTCATGCTTTCTTCTTAGTCTTATCCCAGCTGCCTTCAAGTTGCTGCTGTTCTCTGCTGCTCCTGTTCTCTCCCTTTAAATACTTTTCTTGCTCCTCCCCTTTCTTGCAACCTTTTATTTCAGCCTGGCAGTGGTTCTTAAAAACCCAGCGGATATTTAGCATTATATGACACTGTTGCTAACCTGTATTCACTCTCAAGCTTTGGTCCAGTAAGAAGGAGCTCCGTGTGCCAAGAGGAGGGAGGAATAATAACAGGGTGGACTGTGACTGAGGTTCTTCTGGAGACCATTGCCCTGGGAGCAGGGGTGAAGGCCTCTTGAGTTTCCTTGTGGTGGGGTCCTACAGGCTGAGTAACCAGTTTCTGTCTTACTTACAGCTTTACTGCCCTCAATGCCAGTAAGGAGAAGAAGAAGAAGAAGTATTCTGGAGCTTTGAGTGTTAAAGAGATGCTAAAGAAGTTTCAGAAGGAGAAAGAGGCTCAGAAAAAGAGGGAGGAGGAGCATAAGCCTGTAACAGTCTCATCAGTGGAAGCTCCAGGCCTTCGAGAATTGGAGGGCCCTCCAGACCCCTTGCTGTCACTCTTTGGCTCCACTTCTGACAATGACTTGCTCCAAGCAGCCACTGCTATGGACTCCCTGACTGATTTGGACCTGGAGCAGCTGCTTAGTGAGTCTCCAGAAGGAAGCCCCTTCCGAGATATGGATGATGGAAGTGATTCCCTCGGGGTGGGATTGGACCAAGAGTTCAGGCAGCCCTCTTCCCTGCCTGAAGGCCTGCCAGTGCCCCTGGAGAAGCGCGTTAAGGAGCTGGCTCAGGTATGGTGACACACTCTGTACAAGCTTTCCTACATGTGGTTTGGGCAGATTGGCATTGGTTCTGCACCACATGAGGCTCAATGCCCAGAGACACCCTTAGTGAGTTGGTAGTGAAAGTGTGAGCTTTTTCTGAGCACTCTCCTTGTCTTCAGTGAGAAAATGGTGTTAACTTTGCTTATCGGACTTCAGTTTTAGGCCTTTGTTGCTTCCTTCACTTCCGGAAACTTTACTTTCTTCTTAAGAGAGTTTTCTTTTTATTTTCTGCCTGTCAGTTTGTTTCCCACACATTTTTCCTTTTGTGCAATGGACCAACATTGATGTTGGAAGCAGGCAGCCAAGGCAGAGATTCATCTTTTGAGTATTCTTGTGAAGGTTTTGAAAACTCATCAAAGTTTGTAAACATCAAAGTTGCATATAGAGTACTGTATCTGCATAGTTGCCACTGGGTTTCTGTTGCATCTTTGCATAGTTTATCATCCCTGGTAGTGATCACAGGAAGGCTTACATGGTGATAAATGTAAAGGAGCTTAATGTAAGTGCTGTCCATGCCCTGCTCACATCAGCAGCAACAACATCTAGCATATACCACCCTGCTATTTTCCCGTTGTGATTTGGATTTCCCTAAGTGCTAAGCACTGCCAATTCAATACTACTACTGTGAACCAAGCATGAATCGTTAGTTATGATGCCATTACCTTTTAGTTAAAATAACACTTGGCATTAGGCATCATGATTTGTATTATAACTCCAGTGGCATTTATACTCTATAGCTGTAAAGTTTTGAACCAGTGATTCTCGTAGCATTCAGAATCACTGTTAGTGTAATATCTCATGTTTCAGTGCAAGGTGAAATGTCAGCCACTGCTACAAATGACTTTCTCACTTCCAGAAGATACTTGACACAGTAAATGAAGAAAAAAAAACTAATTCAAATCTCTAGCTCATATTTGTTAGCTTGTGTGCAGTGTTGGACATATGTTCTATTTGAATGTAATGATTTAAATGAAATGTGCCATATCAGCGATTCACAACGTATCTTAATGTGAAGTTGAAGTGGAAGGAGTTGAACCTCGAACTTGGCATGTTTTAGCACATTTTCCTGTATTTGCTCTCAGAATTCATGTTTTTTAAAAAATCACTCCTTGGTGTGCGGGATTTAGCTCAGTGGTTCCGCTGCCTGCCTTGCCAGTGCAAGGACCTGAGTTTGATCCCCGGTACAAAACAAAACAAAACAAAAAAAAATCACTCCTTGTACTTAATTCTCTGGTTTGTAACTGAATTGTTTGTAGTTTCTAAAGGCTTGTTAACTAGGTTGAGTAAGGACTGTGTGACAGAAGCCAGTTGTTTTTTTAGAGAAAAAAACAAAACAATTCTTGGATATTATGTTCATTCCCACCATAAGTTGTGTTCTAATGCAGTAAGTTTTTATCTCACTTTCTTGGGCAAAGTGGAAACACAGTGGGAATGAGAGTGGACTGCAATGTAGGAAACTTCACTGGTCTCTGTTAGGGAAGGTGTCCCTCCTGAGTGATTGCTCTTGGGCGTGATACACAGGGTTCAGGATCCTGTAGACACAGTGGGCCTGGGTCCAAATGGGGAGGTGGTGACTAGAGCGGTTGATGTTCTGGTTTGAAAATAGAGTGTTCAAATGTGAAGTTGGTACTTTGCTTTTCACCTGGTCCCACTCCCATAATAGCATTAAGAAAGTTTGGAAAATGGGGTACAAAATATGTGGGAATTATCCATTACCTCACCAGTCTACAAACTCTTTCAGTTTGCATATTCCTTTCTAACTTCTGTGTGCGTGTTTTTGTGCAGTTGTGACTATAGTTGTGAATAATTGTTTCCTGATTTTTAAATTTAATAAATATTATTATAAAGCCCTCATTATTTTTAATGATTGCATTAAGAAGAAGGCTTGTTTTAGAAAGAGACTTAATGCCACTCCAAAGGCATGCGTCCCCACATGCTCCATTTCAACCTGGCTTGTGTACTTCGGAGCCTGGAGCCTCCCATGTGTGTGGTGTGGACTTCCAGGCCCTGTTGGGAGTCTGTTGAGAAAGGTAGTCTTCCCAGGAAAAGTAGGCATTTATACACAGAATTGCAAATAATTCCCAAAGCCATATGTGGACATTTGGATCCTTACTAAAGAGAGGTGCTAGATCTTGAAATGGATATTGCATTTAAAAGATTTAAATTAAACTTCATGTATATAACTATATCATTAGCAGTGTTATGTGTTTCTCAATTTATTTTTTACTCCTTTTTTTAAATCACCCTTATCTCCTTTATTTTTATCTAATTTTGTATCTAATTCTATTGCTGTTAGAAAAGGGGAAAAAAAAGGACCTCAAAACACTCTTAGCAGTGATCTACTTGTCTGAAGTGTAGGCTGGCCAGGTGGTTTCTCTCCTGATCCTGCCTGGACTCAGTTCTATGGCTGTATTCTCCTTGGAGGTTGTATGGTGCTTACCAGGCTTCTCTCTTCTGGGGCCTTTCATTTGGGGCTTCTTCAGGCTGTGGTGGTTTTGGTCTCAGCAGCATCTCAAGAAGGTGAAAATGGAAGTCTCGGGGCTCCCAGTTCTGGTGTGAGAGGTTGACTGCTTCTGCCATACTCTTGGACAAAGCAAGTCACAAGAGCAGCCCAAATTCAAGGCTTGAGGAGCTAGAGGGTCCCTCTCTGTGATTGTTTTGTAGTCTACTACAGGGCATGATAGAGTCTACCCTGGTATATACCAGCCTCGTCTGCTTAGCAACTTGGTGAGATCCTGTCTCTAAAAAGAGCTTGGGGGACTGGGGATTTAGCTCAGTGGTTCTGGCGACTGCCTTGCAAGGATAAGGACTTGAGTTCGATCCCCAGTACCAAAAAAATGAATAAATAAATAAAAAGAGCTTGGGGATATAGTTCACTATGAAAGCCTTGGGTTCAATCACTAGTGCTGCCAAAAATAAAAGTCTTTTGGAGAGTAGGTGCGTTAGCATGGGCCTGTAGTCCAAGCTACGTGAGAGACAGACTTGGGGCCAGCCTAGGTAACATAGTATGAGACACACTCCCATTCTTTCTTTCCCTTTCAGAAAAGGGAGGGAGGGAGAGCAAAAGCAAAGCAAAGCAAAATGAAGGCAACAAAACAAGGCAGCCAGATGTCGTACATGGCTATGATCTTAGAACTCTGGAGGCTGAAGCAAGGTGTTTGAGAGTTTTGAGGCCAGCCTAGGCTACATACGAGTGAGTTCAAGACCAGCTTGAACTATGAGCTGCATAGCAAGACCTTGTTTCAAAAAGACCGCTCCTCCAAAAGAAGACTACTATTTCGTGACATGTAAAAAAAATCATATGAAATTCAAATTTAAGCATCCCTGAATAAAGTCTTATTGGAACAACAACAACAACAAAAAGACCGCCTCCCAAAAGGCCATGTAAGAACAGCGTGATCAAGGTGTTTGATTTAACTTCATTGATTGATTGGTTATATGACTCTGGGATAAGAATATCTTCTGGGGGTGAGGACCTCGCTTATTCCTGTAAGACTATCAGATATCTATCCAGTTGCTCTTTTAAATAGATTTATTTAAAAATGCAGCACCGGGGATTTAGCTCAGTGGTTCTGGTGCCTGCCTTGCAAGTGAAAGGATCCGAGTTCGATCCCCAGTACAAAAAAAGAAAAAAGAAAAACTACAATAAAAATGCATTTGACTGATAATCTTCAGTGTAAAACCAGACTCTTGGAGGTACTGTCTATGGAATTCAAAAGGCTTCAAAAGGAAAATCTTTTTAATGATTAAAAAGGCAGAAAGTAGCCAGGCCTGGTGACACATGCCTATGACCCCAGCACTCAGGAGACTGAGGCAGGAGGATCTCCACTGAATTCGAGGCCAGTGAGGGGTACATAAAAAGGCAGAAAGTTTCTGAGTGTTTGGAGAGGTGGCTGCCCGCTGAAGATAGAATTTGTTTTGAAACATAGGCCGTTGATAGTTTGACGAACAGTCGGGTATTTTGACATACATATTTCAGGAATTAGATTGGATTAATTGAGGGTGCTTCTGGATCTTAGAACTAGCAGTGTAAGTTTAAGCAAAAAAAAAAAAAAAAAAAAAAAAATGTAGTTTTTCTCCAAAACCAAATTCTAATACATTAAAAGTACCAAGGTGAGATTCTGGATGCTTCTGAAAGCATATTGTTATGAAGCAACGAGAGGGAAAGAAGTCATGGAGAGAAGTGAGGTCTAGTAGATAGTTGGGGAGTCTGGGGACTTCTTCCACAATGAAGGAGGTGGTGGAGCAGATGAGCAGTCAGAGACTGGCGTGGACCTAGGGAATACAATTAGAGGAAGGCAGAAGGTGTGATCAGGATTTCTCCCCTCTTCTAGACCAGTAGTGGCGAACCTATTGCACATGCTGCCATGGGCTGTTTGTATCATTGAAAGCTCTAAAAGGTTCCCTAACACTGTTCTAGACAGTCACCTTGTTGCCTTTTTTGCATTTTTTTTTTTTTCCTTTGAGATGGTGTCCTGCCACGCTGCTCAGGCTGGTCTTGGGCTCAAGTTGTGGGCTCAGGTGATCTTCCTGCCTCAGCCTCCCAGGTAACTGTGACTACAGGTGCATTTCACCATACCAGCTGTCTTCTTTCATAAATTTTATTTTCCCTAAAGCCTGCAGGCTAGCAACTTTCTGTTTGGCTCAGTGATTCTCAACACTCTGTACATTATAGTCACAGGATTATGTTTACAGAGTTTCTGTGCTTGGGCCACTTTTAAAGAATGCACAGTCCTGAGTCTCATCCCCAGAGACTGTAGTTTGATTAGTCAGAGATGAAAAAAGCTAATTATCACAGCCAGATATGAGAACCACCAGTTCTAATCTTCGTACTATGGGTTTGCTGCTGTGGTCCCTAAGTTTGCTGCTGTGAATTCCCCTGAATTCCAGGTTGTGAATGGTATATTTGTCAAAAGCTAAACAGGCCAGGCATGGCGGTGCACTCCTGTAATCTCAGCACTCAGGAGGCTGAGGCAGGGGGATTGCTGTGAGTTCAAGGCCAGCCTGGGCTCCATAGTCAGTTCAAGGCCAGCCTGAACTATATAGTGAGACCCTGTCTCAAAAACAAAAACAAAAACAAAAAAAATCAAAACAGGACTATTTAGTAAACTTGGCAGTAGCATGTCTTTATAATGATATGGGTGATAGAGTTTGTGATATATCATAAATAGATTATAGATTTCCATAGGATACCTTGAATACTAAAGCTACACTCCATTAATTTTGTTGCTCTTTCTGGTGGATGGAAGCTTTTAAATCTTGTAGGTTTGTTGGAGTTCCTACTTGTTTCTGTATTGTCAGTGCATAAAAATCCCAGCTCATGGTGTAGTTGGTAGAATCGTGACACAGGAGTTTAGGTAGCCAGCTGAGTTGGCCTCTGACCAGATGCCTCAGGTTTGCTTGGCCTCTGTGTGGCTTTCTTTTATGTGACTGTGGTTTTAAATCCTTGGATGCACAGTCCACAGATGCTGCAGCATCTATGCAAAGAGAGCATTGATTACACGTGACTTGAATCTGGGACGCAGGCTGAGTCAGGAAGGTGATGGGGAAGGTTTTATTGACAGACGCTCTTGTGGAGCAATGTCTCTCATGTCTGTGGGTGAGTGAGAAGGGTGTGTGGGGAAAGGGCACTAATGGCTGTTACTGTCTGCTGTGAACCAGGCTGCCAGAGCTGCCGAGGGAGAGAGCAGACAGAAGTTCTTCACCCAGGATATCAATGGCATCCTCCTAGAGTGAGTATCATCTCTTTGTGTCTATTGTTACCGTGCCTGAGTTGAGCAGGCCAGGGGAGCATGGGAGTGTAGTCAACTACATATAGGTGACAGCACTGAGGTAGAAGAATTGGGTTAATACGGTTTCATTGTTGTTGTTCTGTTAAAACAAAACAGGAACACAAAATACCTGTCTCCAGGAATGATAGACCTTACTGATCTTCAGCCACAGGCCTTAAATAGAACACTGTGTAGTGGTGGCCTGTTAGAAGAGGATATTGCAAGTTTGTCTGTGAAAATCCAGAAGAATGAACAACAACATGGTAGCATCAGGGTCTGCTCTGCATTGGAGCGCTCTTCAGTGCTTGTTCTCCTCTTGTCACTTCTGTTCTCAGTGCCATTGTAGCTTGTCCCATCACACTTCTCCCAAAGCCCAGAACCTCTGCAGCATTGCCCTGTGTGAATTGGAGTAAAAAAAGCAAAAAAAAGAAAAAACCCAAACATAAATCTAAACCAGATGCCTGGCTGGATCTGGCCCCCAGCTTTGCAGTTTTTCTCCTCTTGCATTTTATAGCCAGAGAAGCTTGTTGCTTATTAACTGAGAATTTCTGCATATATGAGAACAGTTGTCAAGACATGGGAATATTCTAGAAAATGGCCCTGCCCTGCCTAAGGTCTAGATTGGCCAGTGGGATCAGAAAACTGTCTGCAAAGGGAACCTGAGGGTCAGCATAGATGGGGGAAGGTTTGTGTCAATAAGGATCCTGTGTGAGTATTTTTAAATAAGGAAAACTGAAGGCATTGAAGAGAAATATTTTTTCTGCTTATCCAGCTGGGAGAGTTCAAGGGTGAGGATAGCATTCAGAGCTTTTTCTCCTGGGCTCTGTTTTCTTCACTGCCTTTGATTTGGTCCTGCACTTGACTTGAGAGCCTTGATTCACTTTACCTTGCCACATTCATTAAATTTGGGAGTTGTCCTTATTTGTTGATTGCTGCAGATTTATTGCCTTGGCTTCTCCGTTGAATTGTGTGACAATAAGATAACATTTGACCTGCTTTTGTCACCTAGCTTTCCTCTCCATATAATGTAGGGTGACCTAATGGAGAATGAACCTATTGCAGGCTGCTAATGACTCTGTTCTGTTTTTCAGCATAGAGGTCCAAACTCGAGAGCTGAGTAGCCAGATCCGTTCTGGGGTATATGCCTATCTTGCTTCATTCCTACCCTGCAGTAAGGATGCTCTGGTCAAACGTGCTCGAAAACTTCATCTCTATGAACAGGTGGGTGGCTTTGGCGCCCAGCTGAGGGTGGTTGAGTCTCTATAGAGTCCACAAAACTTTTGCTGTGTCACCTCCTTTTGATTATCCCTGTCCTGTGTCCTTAGTGTGAGAATGGTACATGAACCGATCTGTGCTGTGTCCTGCTCTCTACAGGGTGGGCGCCTGAAAGAACCTCTTCAGAAGCTCAAGGAAGCCATTGGCAGGGCAATGCCTGAGCAGGTGGCTAAGTACCAGGATGAATGCCAGGCACACACGCAAGCAAAGGTCGCTAAGTAAGTTTGTCATGTTGCTCCCATAAAACAATCCTCCTGTGTTTTCTCTTTGTATCTTTCAGTACTTACATTTCTAAACGAGACTCTTGGCTCTTCTTCCGCATTTTTACCTTTTGATCTTAGAAGTCCCAGTTATGTAAGAAAGGAAGGGAAGAGGTAGTGGGTAGGAAGACCTAAGGGTCTCTTTGTTTCTATTCTCACTATAGGATGCTGGAAGAAGAGAAAGACAAGGAGCAGAGAGAACGGATTTGTTCTGATGAGGAAGAAGATGAAGAGAAGGGAGGCAGGAGAATAATGGGACCCCGGAAGAAATTCCAGTGGAATGACGAGATCAGGTGTGCCCAAACTGGCACTTTGTCTCATCGGAGGGTTTGTGGGGCGAGTGCTTATGTTAGTAGTCACAGTTAGGCCCATTACTTTCATCAGAGTGGCCGAAAGCTCATGATTGAAACTTCAAAGAAGTGTTTGGGATAGTTGAGTTTCTGATTTCTGCCTCTTCCTCAGGGAGTTGCTCTGTCAGGTGGTGAAGATCAAGCTGGAGAGCCATGATCTGGAGAGGAACAACAAGGCCCAGGCGTGGGAAGACTGCGTGAAGGCCTTTCTGGATGCTGAGGTCAAGCCTCTCTGGCCCAAAGGCTGGATGCAGGCCAGGTGAGAAGAGATGGGCAGTGGTGCAGTTGAGAAGTAATCAAGTGCTGCTGTTGCAAAGCCAGCCTGGCAGAGCTGCTGCCTTCGGGAGTTACTGTCTAGTTGGCTCAACTCTGATGTCAGCTCAGTAACTGGGGACATACTGTAGCTACAAAAAGGTTTTCTTAGTCTTCCCTAGAAGGAAAAGTGACTGTGGGCTTTGTCCTTGTCATTCTTTGTTCCACTTAAGTTTAGGGTTGCCTACCTAATTAATCTTCTTATCATAGTGTGATTTTCCTGTTTTGACGTAATGGTTCCTACCAGAAGTTGAGAGATGGATTCGTGCTGGGTACTCCTTAATGGCCCATAAAGAGTCTCACTGGCAAGTAGTAGGCTGACTCCATATTGGAACTAAGTGCTGGACTTCCTTCCCAGAGGCTACTTCTGCGTATCATTTTTCCATGAATAGGGTATGGTGCTGTACCAGGGCAAGGAAATTTACTCAGAGCTGGTTTTCTTGGTTGGACCTGATTGATGGGTTGTTTCCATAAGTCACAGAGCCTTGGGGATTGCTCTTCTCTCTTTCTAGGTTGGACTTGTATAAAGAAGATTTTTGTTGAGTTTCTCCAGAGACAGACACATTGTGGGCCACTCCACATTTTCTCCTTTGGAGGACTGAGAATAGGCAGTAAGGAAAGTGCTGCTGCCTAGGGACAACATGGCCGTGGGAGGTCAGGGCAGAGCCATAGCTCTTCTCAGTCAAGCCCAGACTCTGATTTTGGGTGTGACAGCTTTAGACTCCTCAGCAGGAATTTTAACACACCAGCCAAATGGATTTAATGAGGAATAGCCGCTGCACTCTAGGGCCATCAGCAAAGCTCTGGAGGTAGAGTCCTGCTAGCCAGGGGTGAGTACAATGCCCAGTGTTCTGTTTCTTTCAGAACTCTGTTTAAGGAGAGCCGGCGAGGCCATGGACACCTGACATCAATCCTGTGAGTGTCTTGGTGTTTTCACTTCTCTGAACAGTTATTATTTTCTGTGGATCTCCTCTGAACCTTTCTGTGTTACTTCCTTTCAACAGAGCCAAGAAGAAAGTAATAGCCCCTTCTAAAATCAAGGTGAAGGTGAGTCATCCTGCTCAGGCCATGTGTCTGCTGTCCATTTCTCCCTGCAGCCATGTTTGAGAAACCCTTCAAGTGACTATGGCAGTTCATTGAGCCTCACCGATCGGGGCAGGCATCTATTCAGGTGGCCTCCTGAACTTGTACTGGGTCAGAGACCTGGGCTGGCCACTTAACCCTCTCTAGTCTCAGTTCTATAAAACAGTTCTGGGGATGAAGGCAGGGTAGGTCTTTGGCAGTCCTCTGAGGAGTGAAGAGCTTCTACAGAGCAAGGGCTGTGCGCTGTGTGATAGTCCTCTTACGGAGGAAGTTTACTCTAGCCAGGTACAGCTTAGCCTGGAGCAGCAGTATAAAAGAGGGGGCTCTGGTGAGCTCCCTGGCAGGATTGTAGAAGTATAGTGAAGGGAACAAGGGATGTAAAAACCACCCGTCAGTGCAGATAGTGTTGCTATTTGCCACATTTTTACCAGTTCTTGAGGTTGTAGTGCCGTTAACTATACCGAAAGAAACTAGGAAACGAAGGAGTGCACATCACTTATTCCTAAGTATCTGCCAAGCTCCTTCAATGTCTAAGATACACTACATTAAGTACTAGGGATGCAGGAGTGATGGGGTGGATCCCAATCCTGCTCCATAAGAAGTATTGAAGCCGGGCGTGGTGGCTCACGCCTGTAATCCCAGCACTTGGGAGGCTGAGGCAGGAGGATCATGGCAAGTTCAAGACCAGCCTGGGCTACATATTGATTTCCAGATCAGTCTCAACTACATAGTGAGACCCTCAAAAATACAAAACGAAACAAAACAAAAAAAAAAGTATTAAGACTGGTACTGGGAAAAATCAAGGAGGAAAAGAAAGCTAATTTAAGGCAATTCTTATGTCATGTATCAGTCTAATTACAGCCAGGAGCACTCTGAGGTAGTTTGAAGCCTGATAGGCAGAGTGGCTTCTTGAATAAGTCTTGGGTTTTTTCAGAAACAGGAGAAAAATGTCCCTGTGGGTGTACTTATCAACGAAACGTGTGTGTCCCAGACTCAGCCAGTCCAACACATACCACAGGGTACTCAAAGCCTTGCAAGACAGGCATAACACCTGCTCCTGTCCACTCTTTTGTAATTACACAGGAAGGCTCATGTCTCTGCAGTCCAAGTTGTTCTCATGTTTATGTTCTCACAGAGGCCAATGTTGGCATCATTGGACATTTCTAAACATTAGCGTTTCTGCTTTCCTTTAGGAATCTTCCACTAAGCCTGATAAAAAGGTTTCCATCCCATCAGGACAGAGTGGCAGCCCCATTGCTTTGCCCTCCGAACACCAAGGCGGAAGCCTGAGCGTTGGGAGCATGGGCAGGGAGCTCCCATCTCAGGCATCAGGTGGCCTCGCTAACCCTGCCTCTGTCAAACTAGAGGACTCATTGGATGAGGACCTGGTCCGTAATCCAGCCTCCTCAGTGGAAGCCGTGTCCAAGGAGCTGGCTGTGCTGAATAGCAGAGCATCTGGGAGCTCAGAATTCACACTGCCGACACCCTCCAAAGCCCCAGCAGAAAAAGTCACAGGTGTTTTGTGTACAGAAGAAAAAAGGAACTTTGTGAAGCCCAGCCCTTCTGCGCCACCACCCACTAGCTCTCTACAGTCACCCCTTAATTTCCTGGCTGAACAGGCTCTAGCACTGGGGCAGTCATCTCAGGAGAAAAAACCAGAGAGTTCTGGCTACAAAGAGCTATCCTGCCAGGCTCCCCTTAGCAAGGGCCTGCCGGATGTACACCAGTCCAAAGCAAAGCACCACAGCTTACCACGGACGTCTCATGGACCACAGGCAGCAGCTCCTGTGCCTGGCCCCCAAGTCAAAGTCTTTCATGCAGGCGCTCAGCAGCAGAAAAGCTTCACACCCCCAGCTCCATTTGTTAATAAGCTCCAAGGCTCAAAGGCCACTTCCCCACAGTGTCACCGTTCCCTTCTGCAGCTAATGAAGACAGCAGCCAAAGGCCAGGCCTTCCACCCTTCTGCACCTGCCGCCTCAGGAGGCTTAGCAGCCTCCAGCAGCAGCACCCATAAGACCACAGCCTCGTCCTCCACTTCCTTGAGCCATCCAGCAAAACAGCATCCACCTGGCTCTGCAGGAACGTCTTACAAGAATAACCCTTTTGCTGGATCTTCCTCCAAACATGGGGCTTCTTCTGGTAGCTCTTCCTCTGGAGGAGCACCAGTGCAGAGCTCAGCATCTGGCACCCTGCTTCCCAGTGTACAGCCCCCCTCCACAGGGCAGGCTGCCAGCCGGCCCATTCCAAGCTCAGCAGTGAAGAAACCACCTGTTTCCCAGAAGCTAACGCTGGTGGCCCCTCCTGGTGGTCCAAATGGAGATTCTAGTGGTGGTACCCAGGGAGTGGCAAAGTTACTGACCTCCTCCCTGAAGCCTGCAGCTGTTAGTAGTGTGACATCGTCTACCTCCTTGCCAGTGAGTATCCCAGCCATGAAGCCTGCCTACCCCACAGGGACATTGGGGACGAGGATGCCTGCCTTGTCCTGGGCAGAGAATGTGATCTGAAATTGAAGATACAGTATGCTCAGATGCTGGAAGGAGGACTGAGCTTCTGGCTTAGTCTCCTCTTTTCTAGTGATAGAACCCTAGGGTGCATGCAGTGAAAGCACAGTAGGGAGGCTGGGCCTGCCAAGTGCAGAATGAGCCACAGAGCTGGCCTCCCCTGACCTCTAACCTGTGCATCCCTCCAGACAAGGGAATGGAGATGCTGGCATGCCTCAGGAAGAGCAGTCCCTTCTGGGAGCCACTCTGGTTTTAAGGGACTCTGCGGGTTGAAGGTGACCTCCAACAGCTAGTGAGTGCCACACAAGATGGTGGGGGTGGAGAGGTGTAATTCTAAGAAGTATGGGTGCATATTGAGGAAATGAGAGCAATTTTTTTAGAGTATTTTTTTATCATTTACTTTTTCAACATATAGACAAAACTAGGCCAGTCTCTCTCCAGAGAGGTCTCCTTTCCCTTTGCCCTGCTCCTCACTCTGTATGGTAACTATGTGCCTTAGCCAGTTTGTTACTGCTTTTTCCTCTTTAAAACAAAGACTGACAAATATATATAAATATATGCCTGTGAGAGAGAGAGAGATGATAAATACATATATGATAAATATCTACAAAGTGAGTATATATATTTTTTCTATTTATAAATATAAAAAAATATATATATATATATATGTATATGTATATACATTTGTGGATATCTATAAATATGTGCTCTATTTTCTTCACAAAGGAGGCACATTTATTATCCTGCTTTTTAAAACTGACTGTGTACCCCAGTTCATAGAGACTCTTATTCCTCTTTCGGGCTGCAGAGTAGGAAGGCCCTTCCCAGAGGCATTTGATGAGTATGTTTCCATCTTGCATATTAGCGGGGTTGGCAAGAGTAAGCATAGGACAAGGGTTCTAACCATATGGTTGTGTTTCCTCCCCAGAAAGGAACGGGTGGGGCTGTGCTGCTGACCAGCTCTTCTCCCTTAAACCTGCTGTCTTCGTCCTACAAGTCCAGCAGCCCCAAACTGCCTGGGGCCATGAACTCTAACTCGCTGGGGATCATAGCTCCTGTCCCATTTCCGCTCCACGTGCTCTCCTTCAGTGCAGACTCCTCTCCCAAAGCAGGGGTCTCCAAGGATGCCATTGTTACAGGCCCAGCCCCAGGGACCTTCCATCACGGCCTCAGCCACAGTAAGTCTTGTTTCCACCTCTGTCCCTGTGGTGTGGTCTGCTGTGTGTCTGATGTGACCACGGGGAATATCCCAGGAAAGTGCTGAGCTCCTTTCTTTGGGGTTTGGCTCCCAGACTGGCCCTGGCTCTTGATGGCCAGAGTTCCATTTTTCTGTTGTCTTCAATGTGTGTCTTTTGTTCTCTTCCCTCCTGTTTCTCTCAGGTCTCCTGGCTGGCTTGCACTCCAGCCCACCCCATGCAGCGCCTCTCCCACACGCTGCTGTGTCCACCCATGTCCCGCAGAGTCTGCCAGGTAATTGCCAGACAGGCAGCATGCCATGTGCTCTGTGCACTGTTCCCCACCACTCCTACATGCTGTGTCTGCTGCCAGGGCTTTTCTGTGTCTCCGTCTTGTCATCACTGTGATGTTGTCTTGCCTTGTCCTTCAGGGCTCTGGCTCTGTGGGTGTCAGAATGACTTAAGCCTCTACCATTTCAAGTCTTCCCCTTATCTGCACTTGTGATGGCTGTTGGGTCAGCCTTACCTGAGCTGTGAGCACAGAAACTTGGGGGACCTGAGTGGCAGAGGTGCTTTTTACCCTCGGTGTTGCTTTTCCTCTTCAGTTAAAAAGAAGAAAGTAATGACATATCACTTCCAATGGCCACTGAACACTCCAGGGCCTTCACAGTGAAGTCATGCACTGTGTGTTAGCAGAGGACCTCTATACTTAATTTTCATAAAGGGAAAATCCACATAGCACTGAGAGACCACCATACGGGACTGTGGGGAAGCTTACCTTTAATGGCATGGACCCAAGAGAAAGGCAGCTTTCATTCTGGCTGCATGTGAAACTTTGATGGAAACAGATTTGGGAGCACACCAGGAATGAGGCCACCTCCCTCCCACCACAAAGTGGTGTTTTTGGAAGTAGGGAGCCCTAGGAGCCCTAGGTGTGTAGCTTGTGGACTTGTCTTACCCTGTACTGGATTCTTGGTTTTTGGGTACACACCCGTCGTGGATTCTGCTGTGAGAAACCTGGTGTGTCTTGGTTTTGACCTCATGTCTTCAATTGCTGTAGATCTGCTCCCAGCTTACCCAAGGGCTACAGTGGTAAGGGGAGAACCACCGTTGTGGGAGCTGAGCCTGGTAACTTGAGATGGGAATAAGATTAAGGAGTAAGTCAGGAGGCTGAAGCTTCTATAGTGAATGCCATGGGCTGTCTGGGGGCAAGAATGGGTTTTATAGATCTCCAGATGAAACAGGGCCTCTGTGAAGGGCTAAGCTTGTGTCTGTGGTTACACTTCTAACCTCTGGCACAGAAAAACTAGTATGGAGTGCCCACTGGAGGTACATATAGTGTAGCATTTTTAGAGTTACCAAGGTAGGAGCCATGTTTTGTGAATGTCACACAGCCCCACCTCTGCTTGCTCTGGGTAATGTTTCTCTTCAGAGACAAAATAATTGAAGAGTCACTAGAAACAGATCATGGGTCTGTGGTATGTTCAGCCGAAAAATAAAAAAATCGCTTTTTTGGGTACCATTTTCCTGGTTTCCCTCTGGGTATTAAAGAGCAGGACAGCTGAGCTCACACCAGCGCTCTAGGTGAACTTTCTTCTCTTCCTAGCCCTTGCTTCAAGTCTAGGTTGTGGGAGGGAGGGGTCAGTGAAAGCTCTGTGTAACAGTGTCGGGCTTTGCCTTGTTGTCTGCTGTGCTCTGCTTTCTCCTCTTCTGGCATTAATTCAGGGTACCATTGCCTTAGCACTTAGTCCTGAAGTTACCTGAAGGTCTTCTGTTGGTGAGAGAATGATTCTTGTCACCCTGAGTTCCCAGTGATCTTCAAGCTTCACTGTGGAGTGGCAGCTGGCACCTGAGATGTGAAGTGGCCCATTTTGCTATTATGTGCACCCTGCTCAGTAGCCACCTGCCTGCACAGTGCTCGCTGCCCATGCATGCAGCAAGCTGTTGCAAATAGCAATGCACACAACCACTGGCAAGTGTTTTGTGGCTTGAGCCTTAAAACACATGGGGATGTTTGCTATTTATATGACCCCCCCGACATTTGGTTATGCTGCCTGAGTGGAATCAGAGTTCCTGAAGGATTTGCATTCTTTTCTTGCTTATTTTCCAGATGCTTCTCAGCTTCACGGGAAAGGGCCTGGTGTACCACGGAAATTGTGATTGCTTCAGCGGACAGCTTGATTGACTTAGGTCTGGGTGGAAGCTGAACATGTAGGTCTCAGATGATAGACATTCACCGCACTCTTTCTGCCTACTGGTTTTCTCCTGGAGCAGGCGTGAGTTCTGAGTGGAGCACTTCTTGGCACTTCTGATGTGCCTCCAACTGAGCAGCTTATGTTGCTCATGAAGCACTTATGACCTGGTGCTCTGGGCCCTGTGGCCTTATCACTGGACTGTTATCAGAGGGCAGCTCTGGGCTGGGAAGAGTGCTGGGCCGTGTTGGGTGCTCCAGTGGTAGATCAGTTGGCACAGCTGTTTTAGATTTGCCCAGCTCCTGGCATTTGGTCTGAGCCTTACTGACCAGGAGCTCCTTCTGGCCACTGTAAGATCCCCGGATGGTCACAGCACCATCCCATCCCCAGCCTGTGTACTCAAGAGGACAAGACCTGGGGCAGAGCCACAGGTGGGAGACCTATCTTGTCTGCTTGCAAAATACTAAGAACACATGTCGTGTGCTCTTTGTGGGGGGCCGGTTTCTCCTCTGAAAATGACAATGAAGCTCTTATAGAGAAAAGACTTTTATAGATTCAACAATTGTGTTAGGACTTTCAAAGACACCTATCTTGGGGCTCAGTTTTCATCATTACCATTAAATGCATTGGATAGAATGGGACTGCTCTTCACACATCACATTATAGGAAGACATAATTCCAGTGCCTTTATGGTGGAGCAGAATTTGACAACACATGTCCATTCAGCCCTGAGTGGATCTGAGACGAAGACCTTTTTAAAAGATATGTCTGTATCTAAGACATAACCGGTTTTATTTGAGTTTTTTATGGCTGCACATCATAACCTGTGCCATCCTGACTTGGAGGTTGTCTGGGCCCCCAAATCCCAGGTCGCAGTTGAGTCAGGGTTCCCTTTTTGTTTTTCCAGAGTTGGTACAGGTAGATTGCAGAGGAGCCCCCAAACCCTTCATATCTAAGGGCTGGGGAGGCGGGTTCCGAAGGGATTCCAAGTCACAGGTAGACATTCCAGTTTGTCTTGTTCTTAGAAACCCTTCTTAGGCAGAGCTGCAGGAACAGGCCTCTGTGAAGTGTCTGCTGCGCAGAACAGGTGTTGAGGTGCTGAAGCTCTCTCGGCAGTGGGGTTCAGTGTTGACTTGGGGTGGGGTTGTGCAGAGGAGCTGCAAGAGTGGATCTGAGATGGGTGAGGATAGTGACTGCAGAGCTCCCATCTCAACGCTGCTCACACTCAACCAGTGGCCATTTCACAAGGACTGTGAAGGCCCTTACCTGGCCTGTTGTGTGTCACAGATGAGTCTGACTGTCCAGCAAGCAACTTCAGATGTGTTGAGAGCAATCAGTATCCTCAGCATGCATACTTGAGTAAAAATACCTTTTGGTTCCTGACTCCCAGAGTTTTTGATGGTCAGGAACTCACTTCCTGTGGAGGTTGGTCACTTCCCACTTTCCTGGGAGCAAGACCTCTGTCAGTCAGCTGTTCAGCCTGGCCTTTGCTCTGACTCCTTTTGTATGTAAGAATCAATCTGTTTCACATTGGGCCACACGGATTCCTTATCCCTTTATTATATATATTTTTTGCAACTTGGATTTCCAGTTTGTTTACAAATAGTCTTAGGTAGTAGCAAAAGAGCCAAAGAAGAGATTTGTATAGCTGAGCTCAAAGCTGAGCTGAGGCTGTCAGTGAAGACTGAGCAGTGGGAACTCTGCAGGCTCCTCTGCCCGTGAACACCCGGGTCCCATCCCCAGCCCCTCCCGCCTTGGTGCTCCCTCCTCCCTGTGTGCCACTGAGTGTGCAGCTGGAGCAGGATGCCCTCATCTTTAGGAATCTAGTGATGCCTCTTGCCTCAGGGAAACGTTTCTTTGATGGGGAGTTTATGAGACTTCTTTTTCTTTTTTATGCTTTATTTGTGGTAAGGAAAGAGTGAATGACTTAAACAGCCATGGCAAGGCAGATCCTTGGCCCGGCTGTGTGAGGGTGGGGCAGAGCATGCTCAGGGTGCTGCAGGGGTTTCCTGGCAGGTGAAAGTCTCTGAGCACTTACCAGACGTGGCCATTTTTTAAGTGTGAAAGGGACTGTGGCTTTTGTGCAGCGACTATGTTGGTGGTTGGGGGTGGTGTGGAAATTGTTAATCTTGTATAAAGCAACTCAATAAATTGTTTCAAGGTTTTCAAAACGTGTTCTCTTTTTCTACTGTACTTGGAAGTAATTCTTCCTCCTACGGGAGCTGGTATATATGGAATATCCATTTTGGCTAAAGGACGGGGAGTGGAGAAAAAGAACAAACACACTTGCCATGAAATTAGAGTCAAGCCACCAGGTTTTTATTTTTATGCTATAAATAAAGTTCCCTATTACTTCCCACTTTCTTACATAATACATGAGATAGAGAACCAGAAATGCATTTGGTGAATAATTGTTTTGTATACCTAAATACCAGTTAATAAGATGTGTAAGGCACTGAAACTAAAGACATAGCAACATCCACTACAAAGATCTTTTAATCTCAGCACTAGGAAACAGTTCCTAGCAGCATAGCTTCCCGGGACAGCCTGGCCAACAGGTAGTAACACTCTAGCACCAAGGGCCAGGCATTGTTCTGGGTTCCATGTGCCTTTTCCGGTGTCCAGTCAGTCCAGTTCTGTTTTGGGCAGAGTTACTACTGAAGAGGCCTTTCCAATAGAAAGTTGGTTCCCAGGTAGAAAGCTAGGTCATGAACACAGTCAGCAGCCCCTATAGCCCAGTCCTTAATGAACAGATTCATGGGTCTGGAGGAGGATTACTGCCCTATATTTCACCATCTAGTAGGCCCTGAGTGGGTATATATGCCATGGCTGTCTTGTGGTTGAGTAATTTTCAGATTGTTTACAGACAACAGATGATTCTGCTGATGCGAATGTATAGAAACGAGACAAAAGGGTATCATGGTCAGTAAATCACTGGAGATTGAGTGGGTCATTCACCCAGGTTGAAAGATGGCTAGGAGTCCCCAGTTTTCAGCCAATGCCCACTGCACTTACGTGTGAGCTATAATCTGAACAGTCTGATACAAAGGGTATGGATAAAACTCTGAGCTCAGCACAGACTAGGAGCCTGCACAAGGGCCAGGGAGCAGGTTGCTGGGTAGGAACAAGCCAGCTGTCTGCCTCAAAGAAGGGATGGGTGGAAGGGGTGGGCCTACTTCTGCCCAGACACCAAGACAGCCAGCTCCTGAATGGACATATCCTTGTTGACATAGCGGTCATACTGAGCAGGGGTGAGCCTGCCACTCTGCAGGGCTTCCTCAATAGAGAACTTCTTGCCAGACTTCCTGTCATGTATCACTGATGACTCCCCACTGGGACCCTTCACAGATATCTCCTCCCAGTCGCACTCTTGGCTCCTGAGTTTCACAAACATGTTCCAGTCGATGAGCCCAGCCCGGTGGGCCTCCTCCGGGGACAGCTCACGGCCTGTGTCAGGGTCGATGACCACAATGGAGCGCCGCAGGTGGTTCTCCCTTTGCTCTCTCTTGATAGCCACGGAGCCCAGGCGTTTCTGCAGCTCATCAATCTCAAGATCTTTGTTCCTGGACAGCCTCTTGAGATCATCCAGTTCTCTCTCCAGAGACCACAGTCTGGAGTCGAGGTTGGCCCCAGCATCCATGGTGGTCGTGTTCCGCAGGTCTCGTGTTTCTGTTGCTGCCATTTCGATTTCTGACTGGAGCCTCCGGGTCTCCATCTGCAGGTTTTGCCGCTCCAGCTGTAATTTGTGGTTTTCTTCTCTTAGGAAGTCCAGTTCCTTGGAGGACTTGGAGTTGTAGAATTCCAGTTCTGATAACTTGGCTTCCAGCCTAGCCACCTCGGCATCCAGCTCCCTCTTGTTCCGGGTCTCCTCTTCCAGGCTCTTCTTGAGCTTCCGGATCTCTTGCTCAGTGTCACCCTTCTCTACCTGTATGCTCTCGGAGAAGACCACCTTCTCCTTAACCTCTGCCTTCTCTAGGGTGGCCAGCTTCCGGCGCAAGGGCTCCAGCTCACCCTCCAGCAGTTGCCGCCGGTGCTTCTCCTCCTCTAGCTGGGCTCGGAGCCGGGCGTGCTCCCTGGTCTGCTGTGGGTCCTGCTGCAGCACCACCTTCTGCTTTCGGGTCACCTTCTCACCAGCCTCAGCCTCCTCCTGCTCCAGGGTAGCCAACCGCTGCTGCAGACGTTGTACCTCCAGCTCAGCTGCTCTGCGCGCCTGCCGCTCTCGCTCCAGCTCCTCCAGCTGCCGCTCCAGCTCCCCACGCCGCCGCTGCAGCCGCCTCAGCTCAGCGCGCAGCTTGTCGATCTGCCGCAGCTCGGCATCAATGCTGTCAGTGAAGGAGCTCACCTCAGCCCGCAAGCCAGGCTCTTCCTCATACTGCACCACCTCCTGGCGAACCACTCTCTCCTTGCCCTGCAAGAGTTCCTTCTCCTTGCAGTCGATCTTCTCTTCCTGGGATGCCCGCTCCCGCTCCAAATCCACCTGCTTTTTTTGCTCTTCTGACAGTTTCACCCGCAGAGATGCCACCTCCTCTTTGGTTTGCGGGTCTTCGTGGAACTGCAGGATCTCCTGGACTACCTCTCGGGTCTGGACCTGTGGCTTGGCATCTTTCAGGGACTGGATTTCTTGCTTCAGCTGGTAGATCTCGAGATCACACCTTTCAATCAGCCTGGTCTTGTCCACGATTTCCTCCCTGAGCCGCTGGAGCTCCTTCTCGGTCTCAGGGTCAGTCGTGTATCTAATGACTTCTTTGGTTACCTCTTTCACTTCCACCTGCGGGGCCCGCTTCCGGAGGGCCTCCAGCTCGCTTTGGTAGCTCTTGAGCTGCTCCTCCGCACCCCTGTATTTCCGCTCCTGCTCTACCAGCTCCAGACGGAGGTTGGCCACTTCGCTCTCTGCCTTGGGGTCCGGCCGCACGATCTCCCGAACTTTCTCCTGCACCACCACTTTGGCATTCTCCTCCTCCAAGGCCCATATTTTTCGGAGTAGGTCTGTCTTCTCCCGCTGGCTGGCGCGGGCCTTGGCGGCCTCATCCTCATACTGGCGGGTAAGGTCGCTAACCTCCCTTTCAATGGCTGTGTCCTTCTCCACCTTGAGCACCTCCTTGACAGTGATCTTACCCTCGGCCATGGCCCGCTCCTTCTCCAGCCTCCTGAGCTTGGCCTGCAGGAAGCTCAGCTCCTCTTCTTGCTTCTCCCGGAGGGTGCCCTCCCGCTGCTGCTGCTCCTGCAGCTGCCCATACTCTGCTTCCAGCTGGGGGTCGTTCTGCAACTTTACCACTTCCTTCTCAGTGACCTTCTCCTGCACCTGGCTCTTCTCTGCAGCCAAGGCCGCTATGCGCTGCTGCAGGAGGAGCACCTCTGCCTCACGGGCGCCCTTCTGCCTCCTCAGTGTCTCCAGTTCCTCCCGCAGCTGCAGGACCTCATCTGCCTGGGTTCTGTCAGGCTCAATGCGCAGGACCTCCTTGACCACATACTCTTGTCCACCATCCCTGGTCTCCTGCTCCAGGGCACGCAGCTGTAACTGCAGTGCCTCCAGCTCCTCCTGCAACAGCTGGTTCTTCTGCTGTTCTTCTGTCAGGGTCTGCTGCAGCTGCTGGAAGCTCTCCTCTAGAGCAGGGTCTGGAACCTTCTTCCGCACCTCCTTCATCACCAGTGACTCCTGAGGGCCCTGATTCTGCAGGGTCCAGATTTCCTCCTGGGTGCTTTTGACCTCATTCTCCAGCTGTTGCCTCCGCTCACTTTCCTCATCCAGTTCCTTCCTAATCTTCCACGCCTCATCCACACCAGAGCCCAGCTTGCTCCCTTGCAGGGTCTCATGGGTTGCGTCTGCTTCTGGCTGCTGTGATGGGAGAAGACAACACACGGTTAGAGCTAGAACAGATCTGCTCACCTGGGAACAGGTCAGATTGGTGATCCCTGAGGGAGTCCACTAAAGTTCTAGGTTTACTTTTAAAAGTGGCCAAACAACAGTTTGACTTTTTGAAATTAAATAATGAAGCAAAATGCTTGACAGCTGCAGAGGAGTTTGAATTGAAACCTCTGTCTCCCATCTCTGGTCCTGTCCCTAGGTGATGTCTGTCATCATGGGAGACCTGTCTGTGCATATATCAGCATGCATATTTTTTTTTAAGACAGGGTCTCACTATGCATTTCAGGTTGGTCTTGAACTTACTATGTAGTCCACAATGGCCTTCAACTTGTGGCGATCCTCCTGCCTCAGCCTCCCAAGTGCTAGGGTTTTAGGTGTGTACCACCATGCCTGGCAGCATGTGTATTTTTAGCGTACCCCATATGTTTGCCTTTTCTGCTCACATGGTAGTTCTGCACCTGTTGCTTGTCACCCTCGCTATATTCCCTTTGGCACTGAGTATAGTTTCATCACTCCGCAGCCAAACAGCACTCTACCTTGTGGACACCATTTAACCAGCCCCCTGCTGGTCAGTGTTCAGCTGCTTCCAGTTTTTTGCTATGGCAGTCATGGATTAGAGATTTAAAAAAAAATTTTTTTTCTTTGTGGTACCAGCAATCAAACTCAGGACCTTGCAATTGCCAAGCAGGTGTGGCATGACTGAGCTATATCCCAGCCCTTAAAAAATAACTTTTACCAAAAAACAAACAAACAAACAAACAAACAAAAAAAACCTTTTACTAGGTCCTCAGAAAACATTCAATGAATTGAATACATGTTATCCTGCCAGTGTGACTTGGGCCAGTACTTGTACTGGTACTGCCCAAAAGTGGTAGCCATGTTTTGGCGGCAGGAGCCCCTTCCTTTGGAAACAGTCTTGCTGTATAGTTCAGGCTGGCCTTGAGCTCATTATGTAGCCCAGGTTTAACTCAAACTCACGGTAATCCTCCTGCCTCAGCCTCTCAAATGTTGGGATTACAGAAGTGTACCACCAGGTCTGGGATTTAGCTCAGTGGTTCCAACACCTGACTCGCAAGTGCAAAGTCCCAAGTTCATTCCCCAGTACAAAAAAGAA